CACACAAGTACCCACCTACATGCACGCCGTGCTCAAAGTTGACGTCAAAAGTGTAAGTAATTAACTTACAAAGCTATTACATTGAAAATGTGAAATATCTAGCAATCGATAAAGCTGTTAGACTCAACACAAATGAATGTAAGAAACGGAATTTTGGGTTTTCCGCACACAAAGACTTTGAGCTGATAAATATATTTAGTCTACATTATACAAGTACATTACGACTGCGCAGGTGTTTCTTTCGAATAAAATATTATTTCAGATGATATAAGTAATACCACACTATGTGGTTTACTAGTTTAGTTTAACTTTCTTAATCTTTCGTAATCCGAATAACAAGATTTTTTTACATAATTATAATATACTTACTACGCATAATTGTATTTGTGGACGCGATCAACAGATACGACCTTATCTTGGTAAATAAAACAATTACCTAAGAAAAATTATTCGCTCTAAATGTTTTTGCTAACGACACCTATATTTTTCCTTTCTATGACGCATTTTTAAATGTTCTCAAAAGATCTTTCTTATAAGCAACTTATTCAGCTATAGTTTCTCAACACAATGTATTGCATGACGCACGCCGACCCTGCAGAGCGGTCTGCTGTCCTCGTTGCCGTACATCGCATCTTTCTTCTCTACGGTGCTGGGCGGATACTTCTCTGACTTCCTCACCAACAGGAACATCCTCTCCATTAAATATGCCAGGATTATTTGCAATTCAATAGGTAGGTTATATCATCAATGTCAACGTCAATAGTAAACATCACTACATACAAATACAAATAAATGTAAAATAAGCCTTTGAATCTTTATCACATAGTGGCCCCCCTATTAACACTGTGGTACCTCAATGTTTCTGGATTTTTATTACATCTTGAGACATTGATATGTAACATTAAGATATTTTACAGGGTCAGTGATCCCGGCGGCGGCGATTGCGGCGGTGTCGTTCACGAGAAGCGTGCCGCTGGCAGTCGGCTGCTTCGTGTTGACGCTCGCCACACAAGGCCTCGTGCACACCGGCTGGATGGTCACTACTGAGTCGTCTAACAGCAGTCTGCTCCAATGTTAATCTTTAATTGTTTTTTTGATTAAATGTATTTCGCAGGTTAACTACATGGACCTGGCGCCGAACTTTAGCGGCGGCCTGATGGCTATCGGCAACACCCTGACCAATGTGTTCATCGTCCTCATGCCCCTCCTCGTCTCCACAATTGTCACAGACGTCGTGAGTTCATTTGTAACTACACACAAGGACACTGCAGTTAATGCGGAGTTGAATAAAATGAAATTTAATATCAAGACAATAAATCTTTAAGTCTTACGAAGTGAAATGTATTTTTTTTACAGACGAATGTATACCAATGGAGGATATTGATGTTTATAATCGTTGGATTAGTTTTCTTTACAAATTTATTCTTTGTAATGTTCATGAGCGCTGATACGCAAGACTGGAACGATAACGTCGCTGAACAAGATGGTGAGATTTGAAAAATAACCAACTTCTTCATTTTTCTAAGTAAAGCAAAAGTAACGAGTCTCTTTTTGGTAGATACTCAGTTATACAAGCAAACTTCCTAAATTTAGGAATTGTCTATACAGTCAGAAACATGAACCGATATGTTGATTTAAAATACATCTCACTTTTAGGACTTTAATGAGTGAATGTTTTCTGTTGTATTTTTCAGATGCTCAAAAGGATGCAAAGAAGACAGAAGTTACTAAATGTTAAAGTTAATAAAATGTAAATATTAAATACTTCAATTTGTAATTTACTTTATTTGGTATTCCACTTCCTCAACCCACCCTCTGTTTATTGCAACATTGATGCAACAACGAAGCTAACGCAAGCGGAACATGGGAAGTATTTCAATTATTTGAACTCTCTCAGGATATATATCCACCAAAGCACACCAGTCATACTAAGAATCGAAAGAGCTCCGATTACCATTGCATTTTTGATGTAGAACACTTCACTTACTTATCCTACATTATACACCTTTATGTATATACTTAGCGTTAAAAAAATTAAAACTTTAGTGATTACGAACTTTCTTATTATTTACATCTGTGTTGTCATAAACCTGTGTGAATGTAGTCTTATTTTTTTCTTATTGTAATTATAATTACATGTACTTATATACTCTATTATGTTACATAGAGCTGTAAATAAAGTTCTGACAACAGTCTTTTACTGTAATGTCGTTGCTAGATTAGATAAGGACATAAATACGTATTGTTACGTTTCGTTTTAATTATTGGCATACTCTTTGATGTCGGAAGGCATTTCTCCGACGATTTAGGGTTAAAATAACGCCAAACAAGAAAATTTAACGATATAAAAATAATAACATACGCACAGTTGAATAAAATATTTGTTTATGATAAGTGTAGATTGTTTAAATAGATGGTGTTAGTTCTTATTCAAATCAATGTAACGTCAAAGTTAACAAACGTTAGTACAACGGGAAAGGTGACGACGTTTGAGCTATGAAGTTTTGTAATAAAGATGCCGAGAAAGTCGTAAATAACGAAGATTGTGATTTAAAAGGTAAAGTTGAAATAATCAAAATTGTTAATAACAAAAGAATATCATTGTAAAATCATCTAATTTTAGCACGATCTAGGGAAATATTAAAAAAAACGGGAATCATTCTTACATAACCATGTATTTTTTCGCAACTACGTTTTTACCGAATTAGTTACTCGTGTTCAAAACATTAGAGTAATTACTTGAAAATAATTAGATAGTTGTTATAACAAGTTCGTTTCGACGCAATTTTTTATTACGAATACATTAATTTCTAAGAAAAACTCAGAATGACTTTAAGCTCAGTCAGATTCAGATTATAGCTACATATCACTAATTTAATTACAAAAAAAATTTTAACAGAATAACAAAATAAATCCTAAACAATTTCTTAGGCTGGGGCTACAGACACCAGCAATGCCTCATCCTGTTCTTCTGCCTGACGACGGGCTACAGCATGCGCGCCTGCATGGGCGTCTCCCT